AGGAGACTTCAGTTCTGTAGTGCATAGTGCAGGCCACTGCAAAATGGTGGATAAAGGATTGCCCGGATACCAAAGTATCGGGATATCAAGGATCTTGTGGAAGAGCACCCACGTACAGATTAATGGAATACACAAAACAACAATCAAGTCTTCAGTTGGTATATTAAGTCTCCATCTGCCCTAGCTGGCAAAGTCTGAAATTGGGTCACTAAAATCATCTCTTTCATGCCTGACTCCCTCTCTCCTGGAGTGAACAACCACTTCCCCCTCATTTTTGTCTCTAATGAGATTTAAAGTTGAAAACAGTTGAACAGTTGAAGGGAGGGGTTCAGTTTCCACCAAGCTGAGCTCACAGTGGAGAATTTACTCAGAGCAGCCCCTCCCTATGCCTGCTCCTGCTGGGCCTGGGCCGTACTCCCTGGGTCTATGGCTCCTCCGGCCAAGGCCAAGTCTCCAAAGCCTCCAGCCTCAGAGTCAAAGTAGAAACTTTTAACCAGCCCTCTGGATGGTATATTAAAAACTCACCTGAACAGAAGCTTATTCTAAACTACTGAGACATTCAGCCATGGCACTGAACACTTTTTGAGACTCAAATAGACTCAAACTCAAGACTTTAACCCCATTTCATCATTGTTTGCATTTCAGGACCCCAGACACCTTCCGTTCTTCTAGTAGTGAATCTTCTCCAAATGGACTTCTCAATCAACCCAAAGTTTCATCCCCTTCAACAAACAGAGTTCATGGGATTTATCACTGAATTAATTTATCACTTAATTATTCACTGGCAGTGTAGTTTTCCCTTATCTTAAAATTTCAGCCCATATTTAAATGATATTTAAGCTAGGAGCAATATGGAAGTTTCCGTAAAATAAAACAAAGGTCTCCCACTCATTTGATCTGAATTTCTGTCAGAAATGCAGTTTTCATTATGACTCTTTATACAAATTTTTATGTATTTATAGGTGTATATAGGTATATAAAAATATATGTAATAAAAATAAAACAGTACAGAGTCTATTCTATGTGATGCAATCAGATATTTTCATTTGATTTTTTTTTAAATGCCTGTAGTGATTTCCCAGATTGATTTCATGACTCACAAAGGAGCCACAAAAATAATTTGGAAAACACTCCTGAAGGACACTGAGGACATTGGCTAGTAGGTATTCGTCTCTCAGATGGAGATGATTAAGTCATTTTTGAAATTAGAAGTCTGAGATAGGGGACTTAAATATACTCTTCCCTGTTCGTCATTTCTCAATAGTCTCTTGCGAATAACAAAGTTATTTATTGAAAAAACATAATTTCTCTTCCCTTAATGAACATTCTGCCAATCACTATGTATCTGCTCCCAGTTTTAAAAATATTTAATAAGCCCCATTCACACTAAATCTCATATCAGATCACTGGTATTCCTCAAATCCACAGGGTTTTATGGCAGTTCCCACTATTCATTAATTCTCCAACATAGTAAAAGTCATTATCTGAAAATTAACAACCCTAAATTTTAAGCATTTTAGTCTTCCTCATAAATATATATTTCATAAACTTTTATAATAGTGCCCAAATTGTTTCATGTATAACTGTTATTAATTTTACCCCCATAATATTCAAGTTTAAGGAATTTCATTTTGATTCACCATGTTAAATCAAATATCCTCCAAGCTTCTAAATACTTACTAAGTTCAATTCAGTCAATATTGAGACTCTCTCATTAAACATTAAAAACTCCTGAGTTTATATAATGCCTAAAAAACAGTTCATCATGATTTTCTTCTTAGCCTTGCTCCTTTAGCTTCTCACTGCTGCAATTGAGCAGTGATTTTGACTACATTTTAGGCACTGGTTTCCTCTGAGTTTAACCAAATTCAGATATTCATGCCATTCCAGTTCTCTGCACTGACCTTCATCTAAAAGCACACAGCAATCTTGTAACCCACTCCCAGTTTTGGGCAATGTATGACATCTGGACACACTTTTCCATAGCAAGCTGAAATGCCAAAGCTCCTTTTGCAAATCTCAGGTAACTTCAAACCCTTGGACTAGTCACACCTGCTCCCACTAAAAAAGGACTTTCACTGCTTATCTCTCTGAAATAATCTCGCCTTTAAAAAATGTTGTTCATTTCCCTTTTGAATATATTACTTACTTGGGGGAACACAGACTTTAAAAAAATGTTAATTTAATGAGGATTTCTGACTTTTAGGGAGCAGGGAAGGTATGGAGAAAGAAGATGCTTTATTCTTCCTTGGTAAGAGTCTACAGCAGTAATGAAACCTGAGACACCAGTTCTTTGTGTGTGTGTGTGTGTGTGTGTGTGTGTGTGTGTGTGTGAGAGAGAGAGAGAGAGAGAGAGAGAGAGAGAGAGAGAGAGAGAGAGAGAAGGAGAGAGAGAGGGTAGAGGTGGAAAAGGAGAGAGAGAGAGAGAGAGAGAGAGAGAGAGAGAGAGAGAGAGAGAGAATGAGGTGGAAAAAAAGATTCTTGTTACAAATTCACTGTAAGCACTTAAGACTATCCTCTTTTGAGGGTTAGGGGAAGGAAGCTTATTAAGGTAGCACTGGAAAAAGTTACACATACACTTTGTGAGCACTTTACTTTCCATTTCTTTCATTAGAATAAATATGAGATGAGATTATCATTTGTTAACTTAATTTCTAAAGTTGCATGACCACTGAATAAACACAAGTTTGGAAAAAATAAAATAGAGCATATGAATTAATACCAAGAGAATCATTCTAAAAGTATGCCTTCTATTATCCCAGAGGGAAAGAATGTTTATATTTTTGAAGAACCATAAGCATTTGGGATTTAACCACCTTTTCATCCAGGAAGTTTCAAAAGTAGGCTTAGTTTAGATTAGGAAAACCATAACAATAAATAGGATGGTACTCAATCTTGTGTTTTCATCATGTCCAGGGAAAGCACAGTCCTGACAACAGAAAGAATTGATGAGAAAAAAGGAGAGTAGATGAGCAAATGAGTTATTTTCCCCTCCTTGACTAAGCAGAAATATTGCTAGTGATATCATATCTAATAGAGAAGTATTACATTATCAATTTCAGGATGGTTATTGATTTTCTTTCCATGAATGGCATAGAGATAGACTTAAATCATTCTTGGTTGCATTAGTATTCTTACTACCTTGTGTATAAAAATGGTGAAAATAAAATATAATCATAGAGTTTTCCTCATTTTATTGAACAAGGGAGAGAAAGAGAAAAGAAAATTGAACATTCGGGAAAGAGAAAATTAAAACTTTTCTTTTGTTTGCCCTAGCAATTCCAAGATCTAATTGACTCCATCTTCATTTTTGGTTGTTTTTATTTCCATTTTTAAGGTTAGCTTTGTGGTGGTTTTTTCCAAGTTTCAATTTCAGCTTAAGAATGCTCAGTATTTTAAAATGATCAGTTCTAAAGTTATTAAAAGCACATTTGATTTTACTATGGATGACCAAATTTTTATGTATGTGTGTACACACACACAAACATGAATGAAGAAAAAAATGAAAGAAAAGGAGAAAAAAGCAGGGAGGAAGCTTATCTTAGAATGTGAGTGTTAAGAGGCACAATTATTCATATGAGTGCTTTAGTTCTTTTTTGAGTTTACGTTAAGTTTACTAATAGTTTTTCTAAGTTATTTTGCAGTAATAAACAACCCCAACAATCTTAGTGGCAACAACCTTACAGCAATAATGGTTTATTTCTTGCACATGTTACTCATCCTTCACTGTTCAGTTGCGGCTTTGCCTCTTATTGTCTTCACTGCTGGACCAAGGCTTAAAGAACAGCCTTATTTTGATCTTATGAAAGAAGAAAAGCAATGCTGCAATCACGCAATGAATGCTCTACAGGCTTCCAGTAAGCAATGCTATACATCACGTTTACTCCTATTTCACTGGTCAGAGCTACTCATTCTGTAAATAAGGCATGAATGAAGCAAAAGTAAGACTCTCTCAGGAAGGAGCATTGCACATCACATGGCAGTGGGCAGTGATGTATTCACTCTCTCCAAGTATGAGAGTAAGCAATTCCAAATAACAGTGTCATCTATCGGAGAGTCCTTGCCAATATCTTATTCCTTATAAATTCTATATAAATTTTATTCTAGAGTGACTTAGAATGAGACAACTTGGGTCTCGCTTTACTCCATTAAAAGTATACTGTTGGCCGGGCACAGTGGCTCATGCCTATAATCCCAGAACTTTGGGAGGCCAAGGTGGGCAGATCACTTGAGGCCAGGGGTTTGAGACCAGCCTGGCCAACATGGTGAAACCCCTTCTCTACTAAAAATACAAAAATTAGGTGGGCCTCATGGCGCATGCCTGTAATCCCAGCTACCTGGGATGCTGAGACAGGAGAATCACTTGAACCTAGGAGGCGGAGATTACAGTGCGCCAAGATGGGGCCACCGCACTCCAGCCTGGGTGACGGAGTGTGACTCTGCCTCAAAAAAAAAAAAAAAGAAAAAAAAAAAAAAGCATACTGCTGGGTTGAATCTCTCTATTTTCTGTTTCCTTGTAACTCAATAAGAGAATAATAGAAAGGGAAAGGAAGATAATTCCAGTATCAAAAAGTTTCAGTTAGAGAACTTTTATTTAAAAACCAAAGACTATTTCTGCTGCCAGTTTGCTATGAGTTGCTATAACCCATTGAATGAAATCTTCAATATTACATGCATAGGTAGGTAATACATAGCAGGAACATAACTCTCAACCAAGTTGTTTTTTCTCTTTTCTTACTTGTTGAAGACGGTCACCGGCAAATACCCCAGAGCATATATATTAAACCAAGAGGGGCTCTGAGCTCCAGTATCTCCTTTTTACCTAAAAGGAAGTGTTACTGGGTTTCCCTCAGATACTCCAGAGAGAAATAATCAATCATCACTAGTAATACAAATTGCTCTCATCTGCGTCGATCACCAGCCGGGGGTAAAAGGAAGCAATTTTACCAGCACTCACTTCGTTCCAGTGAAGGAGGAAAATGGAAACGGAAAGTTCTTACCAATCTGCACATAGAAGTGTGGACATTTCTTCACTTTCAGGGGACATTCAGGTTCAATTTTCCCTTTTTCTTCTGGAAGAGTAAGACCTAAATATAATTAAGAATGTGGAAGAGAGAAGAATGAGATTTCTCCTTGTATATGAAGAGAAGAAATATGAGGGTCATATGAGAATTGTAGCTGTTGAGGCAGACTATAGACAAGTTGCCATGGCAATGACCCCTTGATTTTCACCTTTTCCTAACCCTGTACTTCTCTGAACCATATCTTTTCAGACTTTTTGTTCTTTTACCTATTTGCTTACAAGTATTGTGGTTGTGATAAGTAATTTTATTTTTTCTCTATGCTGTCAATATAAAGACATAAAGAAATAATATGCTAAGTCATTTTGTGATATTTGAGCTAGAAGTTTTTCAGGTAAAAAGATTTAAAAGTAATGAAGCTACTAAAGGCATTCATTTATACGTATCACTTGCCTATTCCAATTAATGGGATACTGAGAAGCAGCTTAAAGTACATGTTGTAAATAACATATATATCAATCCTGAAATAGACATACATAGCTTTAAATATTTTACAGCATTTCAACAAATGCGGCACACAAACGATTACAATTTAAGGGCTTTCTAAATGTAGGCTTTTCAAATTAACAATAAACTGCAATTTAGCAATTTTGAACAATGAATACAGCTTGTCAGGAATACAAAAAAGCATTTATTCAGAATAAATAATTATTGCCCAATCTATTAGACATGTTGTCTGCATCAAAACTATTATTTCTTTGCAACTGTACTATTTGCTAATATGATAGGGCTTAATTCTATCTGAATTAAAATATTATATACCCTTTCTATAACCCAATTTTTAGATGTCTAAGTATATGGTGTATTTCTTCATGTGGCTCAATTTTTAGTTATCTTTAAAATAAAATATATTTTATAAAAATGATACAAATCAATTTTTTGTTTTATATATTGTATATTAAGTATATAACAATAAATTGCATAATTAATTAAAAATATCTAATAAAATGATTATTAATATTATTTCATATTTTTTAACTTTATAAATTTGTCTTAAGCTGTAAACTCTACTCCCACTCAATAATGCCATCATTTTGGTTAGATACTTTTATAATTGTACCTTTGGTTAGGTCATGTATAATTTCTTTGGATGAAAAATCTAAAACTTTAGGGTTTTTGCTGGAGGGTTCCAGGTTATTTAATATTGGTTCATTTCAACTGGATAAAATGTCAGTTCTCTAAGTTCCATTTTTATCTCCAAATAATAAAAAATTATAGCAGTGATATACATATTTTATAGCTTCCTTGAGTAGTAAGAAAGTTTACTCTGAGACAAAGAAGATGCAGATGCAGAAGGAGTATAAGAAGCATACCTTAGTCATTTCAGATTTAGACACTGTTTTTTGGAAAAAGAATATGGAAAAGCACAAGAGAAACAAGGCAAACTTTTAAAAATAACATTGTTTAACAGCATGTTTATATTTTAAAAATATATTATGTGCTATAATATTCCCAATCAAATGTTAATGACCCTTAAAATTGTGCAATAGATTTGCTCTGCTTTGTTTCCATTCTACTTTTCTTCTACACTGTTCTTCTTTATCAGTATTGCCTGAAGAAATTAAATTTTGTGCTCATAAGAGTCTCATCATGCTAATATTGTTACAATTATTAACATGGTATCACCATGTTAGTAACTGCCAAAAGGCTTTTGCGCATAAAATAAGATAGTCACTAGCATCTTTTGTACCTTTTATAAATTTTGTAAGCAATTAATATTCTTTTAATTATTAAATAATTAGTCTTACAGCTAAAATGTGTACATTTCAACAAGTGATGTAGCAGCAATTAGATATCTGTCACCAAAACAAATACACCTTGAAATAAAACCTCCACTTTATAAAAGTTCACTCAAAATGAACCAACAGTTTTATCATAAGATACAATATTATAAAGCTTTTAGAAGACAATGAAGGAAAAAATCTTTGAGGTAGAAGATTAGGCAGAGTTCTTAGACGTGACAAAATGCACTCACTAAAAGAATAAAATAGATAAACTGGACTTCATTAAAGTTTTCTTCTCTACAAAATATCTGTAGAGAATATGAAAGACAAGCTAAAACCTGGAAAAAATATTTGTAAACTATAATTAAAATATATAAAGTACTCTCTAAGTATTAAAAAAATAAAAGCTTTTAACTGTCTAATTAGAAAATGGAAAAAGACATGAATAGAATTTTCAACATAGAGAATACACAGATGGAAAAAGTACATAAGAAGATGTTCAAAATCAGTAGCCATTAGGGAAATACAAATTGAAAAAAACAATTGACTATCAATATGTATCTAATAAAACAGTTATAATTAAACATAGTGAGATTATCAAATTCTAATAGGGATACAAAGAAACTGTATCTTTTATACATTGCTGCTGGGGGTGTAAAAGAGTACAGCCACTCTGGAAAATAGTTTGGCGGTTTTTTATAAAACCACACACACTTATCAGATGACCCAATAATTGCATTCCACACATTTATCCCAAAGCAATGAAAACTTATCTTCACATAAATGTTCATAGCAGGTTTATCAATAATAACCAAAAACTGGAAAAAAAAAATTCTTCAACAGGTGACTGGTTGAAGTTACTGTGGTACCTGGATACAGTGGAATATTACTCAGTAATACAAAGAAACAATGAGTTATACAGGCAAAAATTTTAATGAATCTGAAAGACAATAATACAAGCCAATCTCAAAAGGTTACACATTCCAATTCTACTTATGTCTTTTGCATTCTTGAAATGACAAAATAAAATATCTTGAAAATGAAAAACTTATAGAAGTAAAATAGATTAGCAATCACCAGGGAGTTTGCATCCATTGTCATGCTCTTCACACATCTCACCACATATTCAAGTGTTGCTCTCTCTTGTGCCAGTCTGTGGGAGAAGAATAGCCAACACTGTAGAGCAAGAGTTTCATCTGGATCCTTCTTCCTTACAATACACAAGCCTAAACCACCGAGGGAAGAGCAGCAAATGAGATTCCTTACTGCTTAGGGCAGGACATGATCTTTGAGAAAGACACAACCTCAAGAGCCAAGGACACAAAGCCTACCTAAGACTAAACCAGGACAACAGAAAACACAAAAGTATAATCGTCTATCCCCACCCTCGCCCCTTTTGGATCAGTTTTCAGGTCCATAAGCACAAAATAATAAGAAAAAACCATTGGGAGACGGTCAAGAACGTGAAGATATTCCGCATGTAGGGAAAGTCTAAGGCTGAAAGTAGTCTAGGAACATGGAGAAAAACCCTCCTGTAATTCAGCTCTTGATCCTCAAGCACAAAGTAACAGTGGAGCACCCACCTAAACCTGGAGGTGTAAAAAAACAAAGAAACAAACCAGCTTCACTGTCAGCTAGATATACTCATAACCTTAACTCACTGTCCAGGAAAGACGGTTGTCCATTTCCAGGCATCAATAATATTTCTCTCAACCTCTACATGCCTACACATGATGCCTGTGTATAAAATACACATGCACACACACACACATACACAAACACACATACACACACACACATGTATATACCCACCCACCCCCAAACACACACCAAGGTTAAGATACACTTCAATAAGCAATCAACAAAACTAGACTTAGATAAGGCCCAGATGTTGGAATTATCAGTGAATTTTAAATAACTGTGTCTAAGATGTTAAAGGCTCTAGAGGAAAAGGTGGACATCTTTTATGAACAGATGAGGTATTTTGAAGAGACGAAAAGTATAAGAAAGAATCAAATAGTAATGCTAGAAAAAAACAGAAACATAGTAACAGAGATGAGGAAGGCCTTCAATGGGCCCAAATATATGTATACTCAATATAGCTGAAGAAAATATTAGTAAAGTTCAAGATAGGTAAAAAAGAACAACCCAAACTAAGACACAAAGAGGAGAGAGAGAGAGAGACAGAGGGGGAGAGAGAGAGAGAGAGAGAGAGAGAGAGAGAGAGAGAGAGAGAGAAAATGACATAGAATCCTGCGCAATGGGACAATATCAAACAGTCTAACAGATGTGTAATTGGGATACTAGAAAGAGAAGAAGGGCAAAATATATTTTTAAATATTTAAAAAATATTTTAAGGAATAGTTGAATTTTTTAATGTAACAAATTAGATCACAAAACCAAAAACCTGGAGAACAGAAGTTAATAAAAAAATAGTAGGTGCAACATATTAAAAGTGCCAAGAGCCAAAGAATAAAACAAGGCAGTCAGAAGAAAAAGACAAGTTATGTATAGAAGAACAATTCTACGAAGTTCAGGCCAGGAGCAGTAGCTCACTCCTATAATCACAGCAGTTTTGGAGGCCGAGGTAGGCGGATTGGTTGAGTTTAAGACCAGCATGGGCGACATGGTAAAACTCAGCTTCTACTAAAAATACAAAAATTAGTCGGTGGTAGTGGCTCACACTTGTAATTCCAGCTACTTGGGAGGCTGAGGCAGGAGAATTGGTTGAGCCTGGAGGTGGAGGTTGCAGTGAGCTAAGATCGGGCCACTGAACTCCAGTTTGGGTGACAGAGTGAGACCCTGTCTCAAAAAAATAAAAATGAAAAAAAAAGAAGAAATACGGCAGTCTTCTTGTTTGATAATACACAATCAACCAGAAGATAATGAATTGGCAACATTAAAGTGCTTTAAAAAAAACTTTGTGAGCCCAGAATTCTATTATCAATAAAAATACATTTAAAAATAAAGAAAAAAACTTTTTTTTTCCCAGAGAAAAACACTACTTAGAGAACTTATGACCAATGACTCTGTCTAATGAGAAATATTCTTAAAAATTTCTGTCAGAAAAAAAAAAAAAATACCCCATGATTTCTAGGGCTTTGCTAAATAAATAAATAAGTACCCCAAGCAGAAACTTAAATATAAGTAAATAAATGAAGAGCATTGAAAATGAAAATTACACAAATGAAAGTTAAAAATATATATATTTGATTTTTGTTTTTAATTTCTCCAAAAGGTATTTGCACTTCCTAAGCAAAATTAGAGGCTTTGAATCAGTGTTTATAGCACATGTGGAAAATAGAATATATGACAGCAAAGTTCAAAGGTGGGAGGGTGAAATTGGAAGCACATAAAAAATCTAAACTTCCAACTGAACAAACTGGCAAAGTCCAAATGAAATATGCCTAAAGCTTGCTAAAAGAATTGGAACAATTAAGATACAAGTAAAAATAAATGAAATTGAAAATAGAAAATCAACAGAGGAAATTTATTAAACCAAAAATAATTATTTTAAAAGATTGATAAAATTAATAAACTGCTAGCCAGATTGACCAAGACCAAACAGAGAAGAAACAAATAGCAACTATCAAAAATGAAAGAGATTACATCACTACAGATTCTATAAATACAGACCTGAGATAATTTTGCAAGTCACAGATCTGGAGATAATGCATTCAACATATACACATATACCTTATAACTTGTTAATAAGAAGGTAAACAGGTCCATTAAAAGTACACAAACTGTGTGACAGTGACTGCACAAAAGAGCATGTATAAATGATTAATAAATACATTAAAAGATGCTCAATTTTATCAACAAAGAAATACAAACTAAAAGTGCAGGAAGATACCACTGCAAAATCACCAAAAAACTAGAATTTAAAAGGCTGATATCGGCTGGGTGCTGTGGCTCATGCCTGTAATCCTAGCACTTTCAGGGGCTGAGGTGGGCAGATCATGAGGTCAGGAGATCGAGACCAGCCTGACCAACATGGTAAAACCCTGTCTCTACTAAAAATACAAAAATTAGCCGTGCGTGGTGGCAGGCGCCTGTGATTCCAGCTACTCAGGAGGCTGAGGCAGGAGAATCACTTGAACCTGGGAGGTGGATGTTACAGTGAGCCGAGATCATGTCATTGTACTCCAGCCTGGGCAACAGAGCGAGACTCTGTCTCAAAAAAAAAAAAAAAAAAAAAAAAGGCTGATATCACTAAGTATTGGTACCCATGTGGAGCAGCTGGAACTCTCATACATTGATGATAAGAATGCAAAATGGTAAAACCTACTCTGGAAAATTGTTGAGAACTTTCTTTTAAAGTTATACATAAACTTGCAATTTGACCATCAGTTCTGGTCTTAGTTATGTACCCAAGAGTGATGAAACCATACAGTCTCACAAAGATTTTCTCATGAATATTCATTGCAGTTTTATTAATAATTGCCCAGTAATTGGATTAATCCAAATGTCCATCAATAGGTAAATAAGTAAATTGATACATATCAATATGATGAAATACTATTTAGCAATATTAAGGAAGTACATATATATATATATATATATATATCTCAACATGGATGAACATCAGTCTTGTTAGCAAGCTTTCCTGACACTCATCTGCACCCTTGCAACTTTCAAAAAACATTTTTAATTCATAGGGAAGTTGAGAATGCTCACAAATAAGCCATGGTATAAGAAGATTCATGTTATAATCATCTGATATGGAAAACTTTCACAATGAAGAAAAGGATGCTTAGACCTTAAAAAATGTACCATGGATCCAAGGGTGGAAAAATAGAGGAGATGAGTAACTAAAGTCATTTCAACCTTTTAGTTTTTATGCTTGCCTCCCCTCCCATACACACACTAAGTATGCTTATTTTCCTCTTCTTGGTACCGAGTGATAAATCAAGTTTAATACAGGGAAGCATGCTAGTATATTATGGAATGAATTGTTTATCTATTTATTTTTTATTTTTTGAGATAGAGTCTCACTCTGTCGCCCAGGCTGGAGTGCAGGGGCATGATCTTGACTCACTACAACTTCCGCCTCTGTGGTTCAAGCAATTCTCCTGTCTCGGCTTCCCAGGTAGCTGGGACTACAGGCGCATGCCACTACATCCAGATAATTTTTGTATTTTTAGTAGAGACAAGGTTTCACCATATTGGTCAGACTGGTCTCGAACTCCTGACTTCAGGTGATCCACCTGCCTCAGCCTCCCAAAGTGGTGGGATTATAGGCGTGAACCACTATGCCCAGCCTGAACTGTTTATAAAATACACAATATCTCCTCAAAGTCATTCTGCAATGGGTTAAAGAAGATATACCAGTCAGGTATATCGATTGAGACATAGGGTGTAGTGGAAAAAAGAATCAATAGACAATTAGATCCAGTATTACGGAAGGCCTCATATATGAATCAGAAGAGTTTGATACTTTGATACAGGACTAGGGCATCTCAAAATGTTCTGCCTAACTATCCTGAGTAGCAGAGAAGAACATAAATAAATATGCCTCAGTATTCTCAAGGTATTATTGAAGCTACTTGACACTTGCCAAAATACTGAATTTTTTTGTGCTGTTGTTAAAACTCAGGAGAAATGTGTATGCTCATGATTAATACAAGATATCATTATTATTTATCAAAGTATCAAACTTTTGCCCAGATATTAATGTGATGTTGACACTGTGTGAAAATGTCCTGTGCTCATATCGTGGCATTACAGCATGCCACACAGTTTCTCCTAAGAAACTGTGTCTCCAGTCTAGGTGACAGAGTGGTATGCACGTCACTGTTTCACAAGCATGGCATAGGAAATAGCTGACACTTTCTACCTTTTTAAATAGAGGTGAAAGTGCACTTTTCAAAATATTTATGTGAAAGATAATACCTCAAACTTTATTTTTTGGCAAAGAACTTTCATATTTGACCCTTGATTAACCTATGACAGTATAGCAGAAAAAAAGTATATTCATGTCCATTTAAAAATAAATGAGAAAATTGAAACATAGAGAATTTAAATTGAACATTTAAAATCAGAGCCAAGAAAATAAAATATTTTCTGACTCTGAATCCAGTGCCAGTTCTATAATCCCTAGTCATCCTGAGCAGAATATAATATAAAACCAATTTATCTTGGATCACATTC